CTTTTGGCTTCGTTGATACCGTTTGTCCGTCAATTATATGGCCGTGAAAGCACGTACCTTTTCTACGACCACCTCGGACGGGCACACGGAGTAGCCCAGGCGGAAAGAGGGGGAACAGGGTGACCCCTTGGACGGGCACACGAGGTAGCCCAGGCGGAAAGAGGGGGAACAGGGTGACCCCTTGATGCCGGGCCTCTTCGCGGTGGGCATTCATCCGGCCCTCTTGGCGGCGCACGCCGAGCTTGGGCCACGTGCTGATCTGTATGAACTCTTGGATGACACGTATGTGTCATGCGACCCCGCAGATGTGTTTGTCACCTTGCGCACGGAGCTCACGCGCCACGCTAACATCGACGTGCATCTGGGCAAGACGCGTGTTTGGAACTCGACAGGCGAGGAACCGCCTGGCCTTCCTGACGTGCTTCCCACTGCGCCGGGGGAGGCGCCCGTATGGGCCGGTGACCACTCCTTGCCGCCGCCTGAGCATCGCGGCTTCCTCGTTCTCGGCACTCCTTTTGGGAGCGAGATTTTTAGAAAGGAAGCCCCCAGGAACAAAGCGCACAACCACGGTCGTGTGCTGGACAAAATCCCCGGTCTGCCAGACCTTCAGTCGGCGTGGCTGCCCCTGTTGATGTGTGCCGCCCCACGTTGCAACTACCTTCTCAGGTCGCTGGCACCTTCCTTGACACACGAGTTCGTACGCAGCCACGACGACGGAGTCGCACGCTGCCTGGCCGACCTGTTGGCCAACGATACCCCGATACACATTGACGACCTCGCTAGCAGGCGTTGAAGCTCGGCGGCTTGGGACTACGCCGTGCCTCGGAAGGCCGCAGTGCAGCCTACTGGGCATCTTGGGCCGACACTTTGCCGATCCTGCGGCGGCGCCACCCTACTCTTGTGGCGGAGAGCCTCCGCCGTGTGCAGTCCCCGAAAAAAAAAAACAAGGAGGAACTGGCGACGCAACCGGAAGCCGGGCCGAACCTGCAACAGCAGTGGTGCAACTGCACGAGGCCGGGTTTGCGTTGCCGACATTGGACAGATCTGCCGAAGGCGGGCGCCCACAGCCCGCGCCTATCGGAAACCGGCGCTGCCGTTGTGGAGGCGATCTTGATGCCCTGGGTGATCATCGCGCAGCGTGCCCGACTGCCGGAGTCCGCGGAGTGCGCGGGGCAGCGCTGGAAAGGGCGCACGTGTGGCTCCAATGTCCTCCTACGGAACATGAATGTTGACGTGCCCTTGACCGACGGCCGCCGCATCGAAGTCCTGGCGAATGGTCTGCCCATGTGGCAGGGTGCACAGGCGGCCGTCGACACCACCCTAGTGTCACCAATCACGCAGGCGGGCGACGCAGCCGCATGCCGATCGTGTCCCAGGCACGGTGCTTGAGCAGGCGTCGAAACGCAAACGCCTGAGCACCTACCCGGAGCTGGCAGTCGCTGTAAGCTGGTTGTGCTGGGCGTTGAGGTTGGGGGCAAGTTTAGCCGAAAGGCCGTTGCCTTCCTGCGGAAACTGGCCGAGGCTCGTGCCCGCGAGTCGCCTGCGCGGCTCCGCCCGGCCGTGCAGCGTGCCTCCCTGCAGCGATGGATGGCATGCTGGCCGTGAGGGCGCATGTGGCACAACGCGCACTGGCTTACTCGCTGCTCGAGTTGTCCCTGGCGGGAGCGGACGAATGCGACGGCACCGAGCCGCCACTGGGCGACCTACTGGCGGATGCTCGTGGTGCCGAGGCAATGCCCGCAAGTCGTCTCCCCGCCCCGTGAGGCTCGCCCTCTTCGTTCACGGGCGGTGTGGCGTCTCCTGCGCGTCTTCCCTGTTGGACGTAGCCTGCGACCGCCGACTGCGACGGAGGGTGCAAAAAAGGCCGTCTAACAAAAAAAAACGTGCGGCATGCGGCTGTGCGTCGCCCGCCCGCGTGACTCATGCGCCGTCGGTCCGATAGGCACAGGCTGTCGAAAAGGCTCGCGCAGGCGGATGCGTCCAAGCAGACCGCGGCGGCTCGCTGCCATCCTCGCAGCGTCTGTCCAGGTGTGCGCTCAACAAACGCAAGCGGCGGGCGCCCGCCTTCGGCAAGTCTGTCCAACGTCGGTACCGCAAACCCGGCTCCTGCAGCTGCGCCACTGCTGTTGCTAGTTCGGCCCGGCTTTTGGTTGCCTCGCCAGTTCCTCCTAGTTTTTTTTTGTGGGGACTGCACACGGCGGAGGCTCTCCGCCAGCGCAGGATCGGCAAAGTGTCGGCCCAAGATGCCCAGCAAGCTGCACTGCGGCCTTCCGCGGCACGGCGCAGTCCCAAGCCCCCGAGCTTCAAAGGCAGCGCCACGCGCCTGCTACCGAGGTCATCAATGTGCATCGACAGCAAACGTCCGTGGTTGAGTGCTTTATTCCTGACGGCATCCTTTTCAAAAGCTTCGCTCCCAAAAGGAGTGCCCTGCTGCTCAGGCGTTTTGTTATCGTAGCCCTCATCATGTTGCAGGCATCTCTTCATTCTTCCTCGTGGGTTTCACCATGACTCATGGTCGTTAGCGGACTCGTCTCTCTTATCTTTTGCGCACGTGGCGCGCGTGCGCGTCCGTCTGGTGCGCCGGAAAGCGTACCTGCATGTACCCGCTTCCTCACCCAATCTCAGGGCGGCGACCCCGCGACCCAGGTGATTCCCTCATACCGGCATTCGTTCGCCCCAGCCTTGCCTGTAACGGAAGCTCCGGCCGACAGGGCAGGTGCGTGCATATGATGATTTTTGAAACCTTGCCTCACCCGACCGGGTTCATTCCCGATGCATACATACATCATAGGCCACGAGCAGTAGCAATTACAGGCATCATGCCCGGTAGAGCACGGTCACGTTGTTGTCCCAACTGCTTATTCCCTATTGGCACCGCATGGCACCGTCGTTTTCCATTGGTTCAAGCTCCATGACTGTTGTGGTCATGCCAACATCGCTCCCGAAGGGCCGAACGTTGCCAATTCCCCGCCACTTCTTCCTTGCAAGCCGTCTGTCCCAGATAATGCCCAAGACGCACTCCCATTGGGCGAGGTGCTTGACCTCGCGAGTGCGAGCGCCCCCAGTCGGCTGCCGCTTTGCTAATGCGCCGTCAATGGTCCGTGGGCTGGCGAAGGACCTCGCATACCGCGCGGGTGTAAACCAAAAGAATCAGACGATGTTGTCGGCGCGGCCTTGGGTTTGCTGCTGGGACTTTGCCCTGGACGTCAAGAAATGGACGGGAAAAAAGTAAATGCTGCTTCGTGGCAAGATTGGCTTTGACGCATTGACGCCCCGTTGTGCTCTGGCAGGGGGAGCTTGCCACTGCTCGGGCTCAGCTTGCCATACTAGTTCGACTTTGTGACTTTCTCCGGGTTTGCCCTCATGTTCTCAGCCGTTGACTACTCCGGATCCGCGCTCGGCCAAGGAGGACGAAGAACGCCAACTCGACAGTACACGTGGTCGCCGTCGACATTGACTATCTCACCAAAGAGGCAAAGAGAGAAGGCTTGCAATGAAGGGGTAGGCAGCCGCAACGGGGAGCAAACAGTATGCGCAGCAGGTACTTAACAGGGGGGGCTGCGCAAGACTGGAGCAGCCACGCGGCTTGCAAGCCCCTACAGCGAGGGCGAGGAATCGCTGTGTGCAGGACATCCTCGGAAAAAAACAACGTCAATGCTCAGCTCGTTCGCACCGGAGATGGCGTGCGACCGCAGGTGCAACAAGGTGCGTGCGAGCCTCCACAACGCGTGGAGGCGCCGCCACGGGCAGGGGCGAAGAACTCTTGATCTGACAACGCCCTGGGTGCCGGCTCTGTGGCTGGAGGCTTGGTGGTGTGCGGTTTTCTCAGCACTGCGGGCGCACTTTGGCGGCAGGGCACTTGAGTCCCACGCCCGTGCTGGGCTGGAGCGCAAAGAAGCGAGAGTTTCGATTGCATTCCCCCAGAGTGGTGGCCGGCGCCGGCCTGCCGGCACACGCTGCGAGCGGGCCCACGCAGCTGCTGAAACAGGCGTTCAGCGCTGCCTTGCTGCTTTGGATGCTGTTGACTTGTCGTCAACCTGCCGCCAGCGAGCCTCCCTTCACCGGTCGATGCAGTCGGCTCCCAACCCGGTGCCGCAGTCTGCTTGTTTGACCTCCTCGACGCGACGGTCTGCGCGCTGCCCGACGCGGCTCCGCGGCAGGACCTTCTGGTGTCACCAACGAACATCTCCGCATCCTTCAGGACGATGAGGAAGATGCCCAGCTGTCGCAGGGCTCGCAGGTTGCGTCGAGACGACGCCCGCAAATAGCTTCGAACCCAAGACGACCATGGATGGCTCCACATGTGCTGCTCGTCCCCTCCCTGTGGTGTGGTGTGGTGTGGTGTGGTGTGGTGTGGTGTGGTGTGGTGTGGTGTGGTGTGGTGTGGGTTTGGGCTCGTGTTTTGCTTGTACCACCTGTGTGGGTTTAGACTTGCTTGGTGCCATTGGCATTACCGCTCTCCTCCGCCGCTGTGGTGTGGTGTGGTTCGGGGTTTGGGTGTGTTTGGCCTTGACATCGTGGTCGGTCGACCTTCCTCCAAGTGCAGGGAACCGGGATTATGATGTGCTTTCCGCGACATATCGGCTCGGACAGAAAAGGGGCAGACAAGATAGGAAATTCAAGTGACGGCAAGTCTTGTCCGGTTTTCCTGTTCATGAAACTTCATTCGGCATCAGCAAAAAGAAGCGTTTCCATGCAAACACAGGACAGATCGTGACATGGCCCGCATCGGACAGGAAAAACTGGCAGATGGGAAGGTCTGCGGCCAAAGCGTTGTGCCTGTGTGTTAGACGTGAACTTGCCAACATGTTTCCGCAGCCGTATATCGTGTGTGCCAGATGGCATACATGGACAAGGCCAGTCCAACACACAGTCCTTCCTCGAACGCCGCACAAAGCCAAACAAACACGTTCTGTGATGTTCGCGACTTGTTTTTCGCAGGCAGATTTAAGTTTTTGCAAACACGGAACAAAACAAATCATTTAGTCAATGAGAGGGCAATGCCGCCTCAGAACTCCGGTGCTGGGGGCCGCGTTGGCACGGGTGCCGAAGATGCCGGCGGTGTCTCTCCTGAAGAAGTAGCTAAGGAGAGATATGTATCTCCGCAATTACCGTTTTGGAGCAATGCCAGACCGGAGCTGCAAGTTTGCAACAGTGGCGGACATCAAGTAGATTAGTTTGCAGTGACAGTGACCCTGCAGGCCCCAAGTTCAAGAAACGGTCGGCATCACCAAAGCCGCATGCCGCTTCCAATTCTTCGACCGTGCCAGAACCAGAGGTTGCCAAGGTGGGAGTTTTTTTGTTGTGCACACTCCGGCCACCGGCTGCGAGGAAATTTTTGAATAGCGCACACCAACGCTTCAAATAACGTTTTTTGTGGTTGACTGTGTTGCCGTGTTATCCGCAACCCTTGGATATCTTCGCGGGTGAACCCACAAGCTCTACTGGCATTCATGTCCCTTGTTCTCGAACAGTACGTACTTAATAGTAGCTAGGACTACCTTGCAGTGGTGGCGCAGACTGGGCAGGCGAAGGGATCCTTGCACGGTTCGAAGCCACGACGAATCCGACAACCAGCAGGCATTGCATTGTTGCAATAGGCTCTTTCTCTAAGGCTTCAAAGTCTGTTTCGGTGCTGATGATTACACAGTGGCAGGACTCCGGTCGAATGTGCTGCGGCTGTATTGTATGGCCCTCAAGCAGGCATTGCACTGCTAAATGTTTACAAGATGTAGTGTGACAGTTGCGTGGAAACTGGTTTTTCTGGCCGCGGCATCCCAAGCTTGTGGGCACCGAGAAGATTGAAAGGGCCAGTCGTTGATTTGGCATGGAGGTGTTAGTGGTCATGTGTACAGAAGTGCGGGAATGGAATCTAGTTGTACCTTCTTCTTAGCAGAATAGGATCGCAACTCAGACGACGTCATGATTTTGTTCGCATGGAGGTGATTAGGCCTGGAGCCTCTGCTATTTCAACTGCTCCAGGGAACGTGCACTGTTGACGTGAAACACATGTTTGGAGAGTGCACTCTTGCTTGCATTTGATCTTCAGTTATTTGATGAAGACCGCAAACAGCTCCAAGATCAGGTTTAGCAGGGTTCGGATGTCCCACGTTTAGACGTGAGGCTTATGGCTGAGGGGTGCGCTTGCTTGGCAGAAATCGTGTCATGTGAAACCAGGCTAAGGCCAGCAGTAGAACAGCAAGGAACATAGGGTCAGTTCGGCTGCCTTCTTGACATAGAAGAAATTCTTTTCTGCATATTGTCGTCGTCCATATGGAATGTTGCCTGGAACCATGATCTGAAGTGTCATGACCGAAAAGAATCGAAAATAAAGAGAAGCCAGATGCGCAAAAGGAACAGCCATGTTCGCAAAAGGAAGCTCGCAGGCGTAAGAACGAGGCCGGGTCTTTGTTGAAGGACGTGTGATTCTTGGTTCGGATTGGGCACGAGAAGACGCAGAAGGTGCGAACGAGCTACATGAGCGAGGTGCTCACAATAGCATGTTTTCTGCACTGGACATTGGGCCTTCGAAGTCGCATTCGGCCACCCGCGCTGACTGCAAGGATTGATGTGAAACCTTACATCATTCGCAGAGCTTCCGATTTGTAAATGCCCTGACATGTAATCGTTCCAGAACATCTGCAACGGTGCAGTGGGCGTTGTTTGGAACAACACACCGATGCACTCGCATGATTGGTATACCACGACATGCGGTACTAGCTGTTCAAAAGCATCTGTGTGCCTAGCGCCTGTGGGCGGCAGAGTTCTTATTGCTATCGTAGCCTGGCAAGCCGTGATGAGGTGCTACGGCCTGCTGCTTCATGATTTTCGCATGGATGGGCGCTTCTCGGTATCAATGCGGCATAGAATCGCTACACATTCTGATGCATGCATTCAAGTCTACGGCTATGTGTATAGGCAGATCCTCATAGCTAGCACGCATCCGAGGAAGCACTGAGACAGGAGATACCTGCTGGGAAATTTCAGAAGATGGACAAGTCCTTAATCGATATCGAGGACTTCGACGTATATGAACTAGGCTAGGCAACCGTGCGGACGATTGATGTGCAAAAGTCGGGCGGGGTGAAGCAGGTCCGTTTCCAAAATGCCACGAACATTTTGGCGAACATCTTGTAAGCAATGGCGGGGCTGATCAATGGGCCAAGCAGCTGAGACGCAGAGCCTTCGTGTGCACCGCATGGTGATTCCGTCTTATGATCGACGGAGGAACTCCGATGTTCCGCACGGTGGTCCGTATCCACCTGGCCATCCCGAAAATCCGGCGGCTAGTCCTAAACGGCCTGCAAGCAAAGTTTCCTGTGAAAAGCACATGCAGGCTGCAGGCGCCAGTGCTGTGACGTGAAAAAAGTTGCATGGGCTTGATAGGAGACGGTCGATGCTGACTGCTAACTGTACAGTGTTGAAGCTAAGGAGTGGTTGTCGAAATCAGCTTCGTCATCGAAGCAAGCTGGCGACAGGTTTGGACAGTTCCGTGGCCGAATGCACAGTTGCAAGAAGTTGCAGGAGTGCACACGGCTAGAGGTAGCAGCCAGGGGGGCCGATGTTCCACAGCCGTTGAATGCGAATCGGTACTTCAGTTGTCGGAGCCATGGGCGTTCTGACGTGCGCCAGCATCGCGGTACGTTTTGTTTGGGCCAAGCAAATCGAGGCTACAAGCTCAAGTGCAGCTGGTTCTGCTTCCTGCGCTGTGTGTGCTTCTTGCCTTTCCAGCCCAGCATCTCTCAACGGTCCCAATCCCTTGTCACTGCAAGTTTCACCTTTGCACACAGCCTGTCCAAAGACTGCAGAAATTGTCTAAGGATGCTGGCTTCAAAGCAGAGTTTGTGGCTTTTCACTTCCGAGCAAGCCGCCGGAACGGTCACCCCAGTTTTGGAACAGCAGGAGAGTCGCACGGTAAGATGTCTTCAGATGCTCCAGCTTGCTTTGCTTTTCGATTCGAAAACGGGGGGTGCTTGTTTTGGTCTTTCTTTCCTGGCTGTGCTGCTCGGAGTGTGGGGTGAGGGGGGGCATGCATGCAACTGGAGTGAACTGTCCCATCAGTTCTATCGCACCCGCCCTGGCCCTACCGCTGGATGTCCCGACTTCCTGACCCTGCCTGTGCCCTGCCTGGCCTGGCCGCTGCCTGGCCTCTATCTCTAAATAAGAAACGAGGTAACGCCATGTAACGCACCCTTCGCGGACCCTACGCTGGCGCATGTGCTTTTTACCTTTTGGAGACCAAGATTGCACGATTGCGTGGCAATCTTGGTTTCATAAACAAACTAGTCGGCGAGACCAAGCTTGCAAGTGGCAATCTTGCCCAAATAATTGTTCTATATTCCCGACACACCGCTACTACCACTGCTCACTACTACTCACTACTACTAACTACTACTAACTACTACTAACTACTACTAACTACTACTGACTACTACTACTACTACTACTACTACTACTACTACTAGTACTACTACTACTACTACTACTACTACTACTGCTACTACTACTACTACTCCTACTACTCCTACTACTACCACTACNNTACCACTACCACTACAACTACCACTTCAACAACAACTTCTGCTATTACCACAACAACTACTATTAGAACAACCACTGCGACAACGACTACGACGACCACGGCCACGACTACGACCACTGCTGCTACTGCTGCTGCTGCTGCTTCTGCTACTACTACTACTACTACTACTACTGCTACTACTACTACTACTACTACTACTACTAGTTCTTTTACCACTACTGCTGCTACTACTATTGCTACG